AAGCTTTAGCAGGAACTCCGTGTTGGGTTGTTGGTCAATGAACTTGCATTGTAGGTACATAGTTTCGAAACCTTTATCTGAGATCTTATAATTTGCCTACAACAATTGAAGAAAATATGCGTATAATTCAATTACACGAATGAGGAAGACGACAATTTTTGGCCAGTTCAAAGTTTAATTACGTATACGCAGTGTAGAAATCATCTGCAATTACTCTCACATTTCTGACTATTTGTTTCTGCTCTCTTTGTATTTATTGTAGCAATTTACACAGCCGCAGGTCATAGAGCAGCTGGCCTATGTTCTGCTCGTCATCGGAGCCGTCATGTTCTTCATGAGCTTCTTGGGCTATTTGGGAGCAATGCGAGAGTCCCGCTGTCTGCTGTCGACGGTAAGTGAACAGATCGAATTTGGGTTAGAGGTCCGCAAAGACAGTCCGAACCAAAACTGAAATTCATTCAAGAAATTATTGTGGGTGTATGGTAATAACATAAATAGTTTAAGTGACAATTTATATTTTATTATCTGTGCTTTATCTTTTCAAATGAGTGAACAATGTTCAGAAAATTGAAGGTCATTAAAAAATCTAATTTAAGATTATAGTTGGTAAAATAATAGCTAATTTTGTTTCTATTAAAAAATTATAGCTAGACTTCAACGGTGAAGTTTATATAATTAAGTTAATAAAAAAGTTATTCATATTTGCAAAATATCAAACAACCATATTTACCTGAAAGCCGAAACTTAATAAATTTTTATTTTAACAAAAAATAATTGAATAGAAAAGAAAGCTGTAGTAAAAACAAATTTACTTTTCATTATCGAGTAACTCTCCTACGGTACCGAGACGCAATGTCACAAATTTACATTTTCCCCACCCAATCAATGAGTTCAATCAGAGTTTTACGAGCTTGCATCATCGGATACATTGTAATTGAGGAGATGACAGGCAGACTCCGAAGATGCATAGCTCAGGGAATGGGATTCGAGCTGGCCGATTGCCAAGCGTTTGTTTGCATATTTCACCGAAAAACTTTGCCGTTGAAGAGGATTTTCAATTGACTTTGACTCTTGGCTGGAAAAACCGTTGAAGGCACTCGAGAGAAAGTTGTACATGGCTGGGTATTGCTATAGGTAAATTATCGTATATAGATACATCCATATCGTGGTCAGGGCAGGCATGTTTGAACGATTGGTTAAGCGGCCCCCATGACAAGCCCTTCACTTGGCCATGTCTCTGTGGTCTTTGGCTGTGAGTGGAATTGTAATTTCTCTAGACTAGAGAAGACAATTTACATTAGCAGCAAGTGGCCAAGAGGGACGGCCCAGGGACTTTCTATGGTCGAGTGTGCTCACTCGGTGCGATTGTGGTAATTAATAAACTGTTTTTATCGCATTTACCTGCATTATTTACTCCGGGACGCGCCCATATTTCTGGGCTTGGCCGGTTAAATTGCAGCGACAAACAGGTGAATTCAATTTACCCTAGCGAGATGGGAAGGTGGGGGGGTAATGCGATGGAGGGGACAGTGCTTTGCGCATGCGCAGCGGTGCCGAACACGCGACCTGCATGCGACCCTCTTGGGTTTTGCACTTAAATTAGCCAAGGCCGTTCGGTTAACGCATCCCAAGGTTGGACCGACTCTTGGCATGGCTAACATGTCTTAGCATTGATTTTTTAAACCAAAAATGTTTTTAAGCAAACTACTGCAGGGGCACTCGCGTAGCTAAATGCTTTCAAATCGCTACACTTGGCATGCAAACAAAGTGAGGCTGCTCTCCATAGGCCGCAATTTGGTGGGATTGCATGTGTATCTGACAGATACATTTGCAAGCGGCTACCAACGCCTACGATGGCTGAAATGAAATGCTGCCAGGCGTAACAGCCACAACTACAACCAGAGAAAACCGAGCATATCAGGGCAACAACCACAATATCAGTGACAACATTAGTCAGGCACTTAGAAAAACCTTTTAAATAAGCCAAATATTAGGAAAGTTATTTCAAGATATTACAAGATTATAAGATCATTACATTTAATGATACATTACATTCAATGATACAATGATTCATTATCAAACTGATCTGAACAATTGTTGGTAATAGGTCTTTTAATATCAAACAATATACGGATAATAATACATTGGCAGATATAATGTTTGTTTAATTTTAAAATAACATAAAATAACTCTAGAAAAATAGATAGTGTTGGTTGTTTAACGTTTCCTTAACAAATGGATAAATAGATAGAAAAAATGGAGGCACAGGTTTAATTTTCTTAGCCTCTTTTACAAATTTAAAGGATTTTTGTACATTTAAGTTTCGTTTAAGGTCTCGTTTAAAATTAAATAAAGATAATTTATATTTAATTTATTTTTATATCAGTTTCAAACGGTTTGAATTTTTTTTCCCTGCATTACTCAGCCAGAATGGTAGAATGAAACGCCGCAAAAGCATTTTCGAAACATGCAAGAAAACATTGAGAAATGACCTTCAGCATTGTGCTGCATGCTGCGACCTCCCCCTCCATCCGGCCAACCGCCCATCCACCCATCCGCCCACTTGCCCACTCGCCATTTAAGCCGCATCTATATCTGTATCTAACCGTGGATTCTTGCGGCTGTGTGTGTTTGGGCCAAACTCACCACCAGCGGCAGGCCGACAAATGCTGAACATTTGGCTCAGGGTCAAATGACTAGATTTTTCTGCACGGCTCACAAAGTGCCCGACGAATTGGGTCAACCGCGTGTGAGCATTATAAATAAACCAGGCAACCATAACAAGAAATCATTGAATTTATTACTCAATAATGAATGATAAACATGATGCTCTTATTATTACTTGCAGTTCTATTTGGTTTTAAAAGAGAAGAATTAAATATTATTAAACTTAATATTAAACTGTTAAACTGTTAAATTAATATTAAACTGTTTAGATGAACTCAAACAAATAGATTTCTGAACTGAGAATTGATCCAATACATAATAAAGTAGTAATTTATTAAAGCCACTATGAAAAAATTATTAAATGAGATGAATTTAAAACAATTAATATTTATATGTTAATTTGCAGTACGGAACCTTTTTGATACTTTTGCTGGTGGCCGAGATCGTGGCCGGTGGACTGGCCGCCTTCTACAAGGACAAGGTGCGGGCCGAGAGCAAAAACTTCTTGCAGACGACCATCACCAGCTATTCGCTGGGCGAGAATGTGGATGCCACTTCGCTGATGTGGAACCAGCTGATGGGCAACTTCGGCTGCTGTGGCATCAATGACTACCGCGACTTTGAGGCCTCGCCGGCGTGGGTAAGCGGCAAGGGTAACCGCACCATTCCGGAGGCGTGCTGCATCCTCAAGGATGTGGCCAAGTTGGTGCCACGCGACGAAGACTGTGCAACCAATCCCAGCGACAGCAACAGTTTCTACAAGAAGGTATGTGTGCAAAATCCCCAGAAATTGATTAAATTCTAATCCAATTTGTATTTTCTTATAGGGCTGCTACGAAGTCTTTACCGAGTGGCTGATTGCACAACGTGAACTGATCATTGTGGCCATTGTGGTGGGCATTGTGCACCTGGTCCTGATCATTCTAGCCTTTGCCCTGTGCAAGGCCTTTGCCAAATACAACGACATGCGCCTGTAAATTGGAGATGACGAGGACAGCGGATGTTGTGACAGTTTTCAGAGTTAGCAAAGTAGACGTAGGAACGAGATGAGCCAAAACAGCAGGACAGTGAAGAGCGACGATCCCTCCTAGAACTCCCCCAGAAACCAACAATACAAGAATGCAACAATACAACACCCTACCGAACACCGCGACGTGCTCAATGGAAAAAAAACAAAATGAATTCTGCATTTGCCGCATGGAACGGGTCAAAACAATTACACACACAGTTTAATACAGCTCTACTCTAACGATAAGCTAAGATCATAGCCAGCATAATCCATTTACCGATAATATTCAAGAATATCTTACACGAAATGTTGCTCAATGTTTTGCCAGCAAACACGGATGGAATTAGAGATCGGGAAAGTTTTACGATTGAAACTCACACTTGGAATATTTATTTGTAAATCTGTTTTGATAGCAGTTTTTAGTTGTTAAGTAGTAAACTACAATATGCGTAATATTGTAACTATTTTTTCTTAGTCTTTTACGATTTTGTTATGCAATCAGGCATTCGAAAACCACTCAAAAACATCACAGAAACCACATAAATTAAGGCGATAGACAACAGACAAATTTTTAAGATTGAGCGAACCATGAAATCAATTTTGAAAGATTACTTTTAACGAGGCATATAAGTTTGGATGCCGCAAGAAACATAACGCCCATTAAAATACAAACATGCTTATATACAAATATCAATTGAAAAAGATAAACAATGAAATGGCATTGACATTGTACTAGTATGTGTATTAGTTGGTAAGTCTCTAATTTTAAGTTGTAATTTTAGTTGTTTTTGCTATGGCTATCTTCGAGTTTTTAACTACATATGCCGGGGCACGAGGCATCGTGTTGCCGGCTCTTTTGTTAAAAATGAATGTTGTACATTTTTGAATTCTATATATACATATATAACTATTATTAATGCATATTATATACACGTATGTCTGTAGTTTACTTAATGTACTTTTTGGAAACAGCGAAATGAAAAGCCCTAAATCGAAAGCATAAAAACATTAAACGAAAAAACACTAAAATTATAAACTCCCATTGAACGCAAGACAAAACCCCCATTTAATGATGTACATTTCTGAACGTGAATGAAAAAGTAATTAAAATAAAGAAAAATTAAATGAAATTTAAATGTATTTAAATTGGGACGAAACTGATGTTTCCGAGTTTTGTAGTAGTAAGCTTTTAACGAGGCACATAACAGAGTCTGTAAGTTAACTTCTGTTTATGTAAGCAGCTTATGTTAGTTGAATGTTAATATGAGCTTAAAAGCTCAAAATGCAAAGTACCAAATTTGAATTCAATAATAACTCATTTTTGTGCTAGCAATTTGCTATCTTTATTTATGAAAAACATTTAAATATACATATGTTGTAGCTAAAATGATCTACTTAGTTGTGTAGCTCGAAAAACAACCGTGTAAATGATATCTCTTAGTTGCTGTATAAATTGGAACCCAAGGGAATAGTTTTGTTCTCATTTGGCAAAATATACGGATCCATTTCCGGTCTTTCCCATTTTAGTTGCGTATTTTAAATAGTTGAGACGCATTAAGTACATACGTTTTATGGTTGACGATCGATGAGTAGACCACACCACACATATCGCAAATAAAATTCGATTTTCTTGTTTAAAATTCACACGCATTCTAAGACTAAGCTACGGGGAATATATAAATATATGTATATTGGTGTGTATATTGTAGTTGTTCGTATAGAATAGTGGATAAGTGGTAGAGCTATATGCCTGCATTATGCTATTGGAATACTTGTCGTGATGACCTCACAGAGCGGCTGTTGCAGCATATTCAATATGCTATATCCTTCCTTTTACATAATTGTGTAAATTATTGTAGCTAAGATTGGGATTGTTCTAAAGTGTGAACAGAATGTGATGAAAATAAGCGTTTCGTAACTTGTCATTTGGAATCGGTCGTCCCATGCGCTCATCGCTATAAGCGGATAAGTATTAGAATTCGGAACTAGAGATCGCAGACCTAAGCTAAGCTTGAAGTTTATCTCAAAAACTAAAAAAAATAACGTATAAAATCTCGCTCACACTTTGTGTTAAATTCATCGAATATAAATTGTATCTTCTTATTCTTCTTCTTTCCTTATTCCCTGCCTATTTCTCTTGATTTTGGTATTTAGTTGGTTGCAGCCGCGGGTTCCTCATCGTAGTTGGGATTGCTGAGGAATGGTATGGAGAAGTCCACCATGTTTGGGTAGACCAGAAACTTATTGACAGCCTCGCACAGTTTGCTCTCGATGACATTGGTCACAATGGACCAGTCGACGGACTTGTCGCCCACTTGGGGCTTGGTGGATATCCACAGGCGTGGCGGTCCGCGGAAGCTTACCCACACCCGGTCGGAGGGCGGCGGTGGCACATTCAGCGTTCCACGGGCCACCAAACCCTTGAGATCTACGCGCAACGTGATATTCGCGTTCATGTTTTCCATGGCTCGTTGCACGTACGGCAGCTCGGTGGCGTATTGAAATAGATTGGAGGCGGCTATCCGATCGACAATCTTGAAGATGCGCCGCGCATTGCCGGGCGAGTTTTGAAAGAATCTGAAGAGGGAGATTTTAAAAATTAAAGAGCTTCAATATATATGAAAATTCGAAGGTAAGTCACGTAATCCGTGGCAATTCTATACAATATTGTCACAGAATTAAAGGTAAATCTCGATTGACCTTCCGCGTTTGCGAAAGAAAAGCACTGGTAAATACTTTTTGGTCTTGGTTGATTTTGTTATTTAAAAAATAAAAAAATAATTTTAAAATATTTAAAATTGCTACTGTATTTTTCCAAAAAGCCATTATTATTCTTTTGCTAATTAGGAGGGGGAAGGGTGACTTTAAACCCATAGTTTTATTGGCCAAATTACTTCTTATAATTTTTTTGTAATAATAAAATCGAAAGGCTATATAATCTATAAAAAAAAATCCTGTACAATTCTTTTGCAACTGCAAAAGGGTCAATTTCTGAGCACCCAATTCGAGCGAATGAAATCAACCTTTCTGCAAATTAATGAAGGTTTTCTTAAATATATATATCTTTCTATACTTACTCAGTTCCGGCCGGATTCTCTTGGGCGGTGCCCGGCGGTGGGCTCTCGGATTCAGTAGAGGAACCGCCCGAGCTCTCGGCATCGCTGTCGTAGATGACATTCTCCGAATTGGCATCCGAATTGCTGCGCAAATCCGGCGTTTGCTCTGCCGCCATCGAGGTGGAGGGCACCGATTCGGGGGCCATCGGTGACTTTGTCTTGCTGCGAATCCGTAACAGATTCAGCTTGGTGGTCACTGTTATGTGAGCCAACCCCTCGTAAGTTACATCAGCGTCCACCCAAACGCCGCGCTCATCCAGCATCGGCTGGGAAACGCGATGACACAGCAGTGGGGACTGACCCAAGTATATGTTAGTTATGATGACCTCCTCCATGAAGCTGGGCAGCTGTAAAAAAATCATTGTTTTGTTTATACCTAAAGATTCTCTGATGAAACACCCACCTTGATAGAGTTTAGTTTCTTCTGCAACACCTCCTTGAGTTTCTCGTGCAACATGGCATCGTGTAGCCAGCTGTAAAGACAGCGTCCCAAGAGGACATTCGCCCAGACAATGCTGCCGGATGGACCCAGGAAAAGCGACTGGTCAATGCCCTTCCACAGTTCATCTTCCTGACGTTTGGCACGGCGAGACTGTAAGTAAGTTGATTATTTACATTAACCCGCTTACTTAACGGATATCTCCAACATATTACTATTGTAATAAAACCATAAAACATACTTTTCTTTGGCGCCGATCAAGGGAGCAGTTTGTTCCGACGGAACTTCGGGTTACGGGAATTGTGCTTTGGCTGCAAGCCTTCTACCAAAAGCCAATTGAAAATGACAAATAATAATAAATCAAAACTAAAGGGCTACAAATGAAAATGGAATGGGCTCTAACCACTTACCTGATACACGGCCATAAAACGGACATAGTCGGGATGATTTCTGGCCACATTGGCACTCATAATCATGCCGTCGAAGTTCTCTTCTCTCGGCGTCTCACAAAGATCTTCCTCAGTCACATTCTCGAATTGTCCGTCGGGCGTTTGCTGATCCGGTTCATCATTTGCATTCCCCGTTGACATCTCATCTTCGGTCCGCCACTGCAAGTAGTTACCACTGATTAAAGACAGATTGTCTTGGGTTTTATTGGGGATGGCTTACCTTCACAGTGCCCATTCCCTTGCCCATTCCAGTGACCAGGTGCAAAGCTTGCCTGGCTGCGGCCGCCTGAAGATCAGTGTCCTCCACGAATCGAGCCATGGGCACCTGAAGATCTTGCTCGTGTACCAGGCCCTTACTGGCGGCTGTGAAGCGGCGATACCAATCCTCCTTTTCCCGGTCACATCTCGAGAAGAGCAACAATCGCACCTCATCGCCGCAGGGCACACTGATGTCATTGAGCTCCCTGTCCGGATTCACAGTGTTTCGCAGCTGTTGTAACTGAGAATTAGGCAAAATTGTTAAACATGTTTTAATTTGTTGAGCTGTAACAAGCTTACATCTGCCTGCATCACCGTGGCTGCAAAGTCCACCGGCTTCTCCTCCTCTGCACCGGCGGGCGGTGTCGCTCCCGATGAGGAGGCACCTTTTACCTCTTTTGCTTCCAACTTCACCGTTTGCTCCGATTGACTTTCCAAGGAGCTTTGCTCTTCGGGCAGATCCTTGGTGCTCTTGATGATCAGCTGAATGGGATACTTGCGATTGAAGAAACTGCAGGTGTAATAGAAGACAATAAGTATGCTTAAAGGCAAGTGAAATATCAGAGGACTCACCGCTTGTTGGCCAAACCCAAGGGCAGCAGTTCGATGCGGCAGTCTCTGAGGTCATAGGAACGGTGGTCGGTGAACAGGATCTTGTGGCGATCGATGGGCGGCTCGTTCCACATGCGTCGCTTGGGTATCCTGGCATTGGTGCCCGACATCTTCAAGATGCATCCATCCAATCGCACATAGACCGCTCGTGTGAGGCTAAACGAAAAGGTATTGGGATCGTAGCTATTGATCTCGTTCATCCAGCCAGCATATGTCTTGATCGTCTTGTGCTCCTCCACTGCCGGTATCTCGCAAATGGGCATGACCTTGTAATTGGGAATGGCGAAGGCCACTCGCTCGGGGTGCGTGGTTAGCAGAAAGTCCTCGAGCAGCACTCGCAGATGACCGCCACAGCAGTCCATCACCGTGAAGAACAGCAGGGTGGCAAAGACACCACGCAGGAAGTCGGGCACCGGTAGTATCATCAGCAGGAGCAGAAAGAAGGAGAGGAGCACGGGCAGGGCGAACACGGTGGAGCCCTCATGCTTCTCCCGCCACTGACTAACACTCAGCATGCTCAGGCTGGAGAGGAAGCTCTGCTTGCTCCGGGAGTCACGCGGTGACTTCTGTGACTCCTTCTCAGTGTAAGAGCTGGCGAAGGGCGGTACCAGGGCGGTACCTACCGGTGCCACGGGAAGCGTTAGATTGGCACGTGACTCGACATCGGCTAGCAGATCGGGCTCATCCTCCGCTCGCTTCTCAGCGGGTTCCTTCGACGCATCGCTCTGTGCCACCGTTGCGGGTATCATATCCTCGAGCACCTCCACGCCCGACTCCACCTCCACGTCCTTGCGGGCCAGCAGGATGCCCCGCTTCTTAGCCTTGCCACTGACGATGGCAATCTCCGCCTGCTGACTGGTGGAGGGCTCACTGCCCGCCTCCACCACATTGCGACGGCGCAGGAAGCCAGTGCGCACCGTAGTCGGTGGGAGTGCAGAACCAGAAGCACTGGGACTGATGTCCTTCTTCATGGCGGCTGCCGCTTGGTGTTTGGCCTTCACCTTGGACCGGATGTGGGCCAGACCGCGACGCAGTCGGGATCGCTCCGACTGACCGCCAGTTGCTGCCACGTCACCCAGGCTGCCCAAGCTGACGGTGTCGTGTTGCAGCAGTTCGGCCTCCACGTCCGAATCCGAGTTTTGTTTGTGCTCCTGATCAAGGGGAAGCTCCTCGCTAATGGACGTGTTCACGGTGAGGCACTCAGTGTCCGAGTCGGGATCGTTGCTCCAGCCAGTTGATGGTGGATCCGATACTATTATGGGTATGGCTGCCGTTGGTGGCAGTTTGGAGGACTTGATCTCCTCGATGGTTTGCGAAACCTTGCCCTTGATCAGCCGCCAGGTGCCACCGCCACTGCTGCTATCGCCAGCGGGGCCAGCTCCTCCCAAGGAGCCACCTCCTGCGCTGGCCGACGACAGTGCGGATATCAGACTGGGACCGCTGGAGGTGGGTGAGACACCTTCAATGCTGCCAGATCTGGAATTTAGAATTTGTTTCGGTTAGTTTGTTATGGCATTTGGGAGACTCCATTGTTTGTTACGTCACGTTTTGACTAAACAAACGAGGTGGAGGAAGTGTATCAAATCCCCAAAAAGTATGCTACAAAATATTTTAAACAATAATCATTTTAAAAATCTTCTATATTTTGTTAATATGTGAAATATAAAAAAATTAATTTAATACAAATTAAAATAAAAAAATAAGTTCCCAAATAAATATTACTTTTATTCAATTTAATTTAAGTCTAGTGTTTCTGATTTGACTATTTTTTAAAAGGAAACTAATTTAGGTAAGCTGGCACTTTGTCTATGTTTAGTTTGAAGAAAATGTATTTGATAAAATTTTAACAGATTTAAATAGATAGGTAAACGTGATCGAGGGTAAATATAAGATTAAAGTAAGAGATTTTGTATAAAACAAAATTGTGCTTAAACATTTTTTTACTGAAACCCACCACAACTAAAACTTGTAACCGCCATTGGCTATGCATTATTATAAAAAATGAAACATAAAGCTTCTCAGCGCTTTCTTGTCCAAACACCCCTAATAAGGCAAATAAAACAACTCGCATTTGTATTATTCCAGAAAAAGTATTTTTATTTATTTGAATGAAGATATATGTTTTTTTTTGCCATTTACGTTTTATTTACTTGTTCCATAACCTGCATTTTTGCCTCAGTGACTGAGTGTGTGTGTGTGTATGTGGGTTGTTGATTTGTGTTATTCCAATTTGGTTTTATCGAATACAAACGCCGATTATTGGATTTTCGTTCAGTGAAATGCTTGGGGCGCTTTAGAAAACGACTTTGGTTTTGAATATATTTTGTGTATAATATAATCCTATATGTATATTTCCCTCAATACGGGATTACATATTTGTATTAAATTGTTTCATATTTGATTTGCTGGATTTAGGGTTTGGTTTTCTGTTTTTTTTTTCATTATCCTTGTACGGTTTCCTTTGAAATATTGCATTGAAGTACTGCTGATATCTTGGTTTTCTATTACAGTTTCAGTTTTTTTTGAGATTTTTTATTAAGGGAGAACTCCTTAGCGTATGTTTCTAATATTTATTTTAGTTTTGGTATTTCGTTATTGACTTTTATTTCTATTTATTTTATTTTAGTACATACGTTTAATCTATGGTTTGTTTTGAATTTTCGGTTTCGTAACATTTTTTAAACATTTTTTTTTGGTAATTTAGTTGAAAACGCTTCAACATCTGGAGCAAAAACACGCATGGAAATCGAAACTGTTTACAATAATTATACTAAATCAGTGTTTATCCCTTCAGATTGATTTTTCGGGCTTTAGAAAACTACAAATATTTTTATTGATTTTTGGTTTTTTCCAACTTTAATTTTGTAAAAATTAAAAAATTACGTTTATTGAAAATTACTATAAAATATGGAATATTTCGCTAGTTTCTTGTTTTCATACGCTTCATACAGATTACGTGTCATATATATATTTATTTATTTGATTCACTATATAGTTTTATATCTGCCAACTGGTTTTTCGGTTTACTGTTTATATTATTTTTCAGTTTTCAGTTATATTTTCACTTGTATAATGCTAAAAAATTATATGTCTTTGCTTGGTTTTTCGTTTTTTTTTTGTTTTTGAATATTTTGCTAAAAGGAATTCATTAGTAAGGGCGCTCAATTTCAGTTTATTTAAAGTTCTAAACATTATATATATGTACATATATATATAAGTATAAGTATAAGTATAGGCATATGTCACTCTGTAATTAGCGCACACGACAAAAAAACAAATTAAAATGGAAGTGCGGGTGCCTAACACCCGCTTTACAGGCTACAATTTCTCAGTATCAATTTGATGTTTTATAAAATTCATTAATTATGTTTAAAAGGTACCGAATGTTGTTTTTAATATTCTTTAATAACCTTGTCTTTTAATGATTTTATTCTATTTTTCACAACGATCTAAGCTTCGATCCAATTGGCGTAAAATTGAAATCGACTCACATCGTTCTGGAGCTCAAAGGGTTGAGGTTGAGGCTAAAAAATTTTCTATTTAAAACGCGTTTGGTTTACTTTCTTTCGCTAGCTACAAAACCATACACTGTACAAAAATTGTGCTATGAAAATACTCAAAAAATAATCAAATTTCTCTCTGCACCCTATCAGTTAAGCGTTCAACCCGAAACGAGGAGTATTTTCAACCTTAGTTGCCAATTTTACTTTAAAGAGTTTTCACTAGCAAAATCAAAATGCGACTTCAATTTGCATAATGCACTACGCAGGGTTTGACTTAAGTGTATTTCTCTATTTATATTGTTTCTTTTATTAGCAAATATTTGAAGCATTTATCTGGGGTTTGTCAAAAATATTCACTTATTTAAGTTTGAATTGTACTACGTGTAAATTTCATATAATTATGCAATTATTTTTATCCTTTTTTGGTTGGTATAAAAAACACATATTGACCAATTTGCTGTTTAGATGTTCAGTTAACATATTTAAGTTTGTAATAAGTTCGAATTTCAATACTTTCCTTTTCAGAGTCTTTCTTATCGTTAAATTATTTAATTGTATGTACTAACAGTTTTGTGTTTCGTATTATTTCGTTATATTTTTGTGGTTCAGCTAAGTTAAAAGTTTTATTTATTTACAATGTTATAAAAAGTACATACAAGTATATATAAAAATAAATAAAACACAATTTACGTTATGTCCGTTTATTAATTTCAAAAACTTCTTTTTCGTTTATTTTGTTTTTTTTTTTTATAAAGTGTATATATCAAATATTTTTTTTGTCATATTTTATTAAAAATATGTATATGTATAAAAAGAATAAACAAAGTATAAAAATGTCTCAACGGAGTTGGTTTTTTTAAAACTACCAGGAAACTACTAGCAACTACAAAAGATACAAAAATATATTCAAGAATTAGGCATACAAATTTTCATTGTCATAATCGGTATAACAACAGGATCCATATAAAAATCAACATAAACATTTATCTATAACAAGATTCTCTATAAAACTAAAACTGTCGATCCGACATTAATCCATAATTCACGCTCAGAAGTAGGATAAACCAAATGTCTTTGCCTAATTGATTTTGCTTATTGGAATAGTAAGGGAAACAAAATAAAACAAAGTAAAACGGATTGCTTAATGATATTAATATTATATAGCACGCTACACAAGATTTCAGATTCCTACACCACTAGCAGCAAAAACATTGAGCGGTTTGCCGTAAAGAGTTTTCATCTCTATCAACTTTTTGGTATAGTAAAATATTTGTTTGATAAGTTACTTTTTTAGAGCACATTTAAAGTTTTTTTTTTAACAATTTTATCAAGTGTTTGTTAAACAGGTAAAGTATAAAGTATATGTTATATAAAAGTATAAAAATCTATAAAATATTAAATTTTACTACATTAAAAAACACCATCATTACGCACAGTTATCAATAGCCATTAACCGATTGCCGTTTACCGCTAACCGATTACCGATTACCGTTTCCGTTTCCGTTTCGTGTTTGCTTTGTAACAGATTTTGCCTTTTTAAAGACTAGCATTTAATTACTTTGAAAGTTTTCGAACAACGCGTTTGCTTACATATTTGCACAAATTGTTTAACACTACATAGAGCAGGCTGCTGTATATGATATAATATTTAATTGGGCTTGTTGGTTTTCGTTTTGTGTAGATTCTTTTGCTTTTAATACACATTATTTCGGTACGTATTTAAAAATAAAAAATGGAAACGAAAACAAACAAACGCTTTGAGTCATCTAATTAATTTGTTTTGCAATTTAAAAAATATATCTGTAGTATATATATGATACATATTCTTTAGTTCATTGTAATATAAAAATTCTAGAAAAATTGCTATAAACTTGTTTTTTATTCTTTGAAAGTGCCACGCGATCAACTTGAGTTACAACTTTGCATGACTTGAATTTCGTTTTTGCTTTTTTGGTTGTCTTGTAAAGAAAGCGCGAGCAAAAATTTGCTAATAGATTTGACTATCGTTTAATAATATATCATAGAAGTCCAAAGCAACTTGGCCTTTCACGTTTTTGGTTTATCAATTTGAATTAGATCTTTAGTACGTTTGTTGGTAGTATAGAAAAAATATCGTATTGTTTGCATGCACCGTAGCAAATTTTGTCACGTCCCTTAAATCGTATAATTTACAAAATAATGTTGCTCGTTTTACTTTTTGATAATTTTCCATAAGTATTGCCCTAAGTCTAGATATTCAATTTGATTTTTTAGGATTCAGGGAGAGAACCAAACGCAAACTTCAAGCCGCGTTCGCATGTCAAAAATGCATGCCAATTAGTTGAAAGTTGGGTGATCATTCGGGATCGTAAATATTTGACTACTTTGGTTATACGATTGCAATTATCTTGTATACATTATGTTTGTACAGATATATATTTTTTATACTTGTTTATATATTTGGTATTGAATCGTTTACGAAATAGTATTGCACATAAGTTGTATATATTTAAATTTCCTTTAGATGTTTTAGCATTTCTATTTATCTTCGCATTTTTGGTTTTTTTTTTTATTTTTGTCTTCAGTTATTTGGACTAAACTAACTTCTGAATAATCATAAGAGTAATCAAAAAAAGTTTATACAAAAAGTTTCTATATAAAAAGTTGTCTAATACAAGTATTCATAGTGTTATAGATGTATGTCGTATATAAAATTTTTTTGTTATATTACATATATATATTTGCATTAATATATACGTTCTTCTATATCTTCGGGAGATAAGCCCTCTGTCCCTTAGCTAGCAACATGCCATAAATTAAAAAAACGAAAAACAATTTATAAATAAATAAGGCAAAATTTGACATTTAACACGTTTGCAGTGAAAAATCATAAAAAAAAAATCATAATACTGAACACAAGCGAATTGACTTTTTCTCTAGTTTTTAATTATTAACATATATTTTTTTTATTATTTTATGTGATGCCAAATGGCA